CCCCCCATAGCCACCAGTTCCCATGGCAGCAGGGAAAGCTTTTCCCTGCATGGTGCTGCACCCCGCATCCACCCCTCCCGGCCCCCAGCTCCCACCCCTCTCCCCAACCCCAGGCACCCACAGCCCCTTTCCCCAACATCTGACAAAGCCCAGCCCTCTGCATCCCAATGCCCCTGGGCTCCAAAAGCCCAATAGTCCCAGACCCCCAGCACCCCAGTGCCTCCAGACCCAGTTTTTCCCCCCACACTGATGCTCCCAGACACCCCAGATCTCTAGCATCCTGCACTCCAACACCCCACATAGCATCCCCAGATACAACCCAATATTTCTGATACACCTCCACCCCAGTGCCCCAACATTCCCAAACAGCCCAACACCCAGACACCCTCACTTCCCCAGCTCCCTAATGCCCCCAGACATCCTCCCACACCCTAATGCCCGCCCCCCCCTCCCTCCCCCCCCAATGCCCCAAAACACACTTATCCTTCCAAACCTCCCCCAGGCACCCTGCAGCCCCCGGGACGGGAGGCGAGGTGCACGTCCACCACAACATCCCCATCCCATTGCAACCCCATCCCCACCCCTGTCCCCATCCCACCTCCCCTGGTCAGGTCGATGATGCCCAGGGCATGGAGTAGCTTGAGGCTGGAGCAGAGCAGCAGGATGATGCCCACCATTTGCAGCCCCTGTGGGTCCCAGGGCGCCCCAGCAACCGGCATCCCCCAGACGCGCAGCCCCAGCAGGCGGCGGGTCCGGTAGCAACAGACCCAGCGCGGGAGGAGAGGGGAGGGCAGGGGAGGAGAGACCCGCCTCGGCCCTCCCTCTTCCCGCCCCGGCACCCTGCGGGTCCCTCGGGGCACCCAGGCTGCAGGGGAGGGGAAAGCCCGTGCTTGTGCCCGAGGGACTTAAGGGCCAGCTCTCACTCCAGGTCCCTCGGGGCGCCCCGCTGTTGTCACCCACACAGCCTGGCACGGGCACCCCACAGCCCTAAAAAGCCGCAGAGGGGTGCAGAGCTGGCAGCAATGGGTGCGTGGAGGGGGGGGGGCTTAAGACAGTGCTGCCACCCATCCCAGGGACCAGCCCTGTCCAGGACAGCCCCTCTACCCCATCCCAGACCACCAAACCTGTCCCCCGGCAGTGCTCCCACCCCGCACGCACCCACAGTACAGCACGAGGAACCCCCTGCCTCGGAGCTCAGCCTTGCCCACCCATCGCCTCCATGGACATCTGCCACCCACACCTCTTCCCTCTTCACCTCCTGTGGGAACACCCGCACCCCTCCACACCAGCAAGTAAGTCACAGCCACATGCGAGATCCATGGCACGTGGAGGAGCCGCAGCTGGGGGCTGCCAGCCCTGGGTACCTCACTTGCTGATGGAGGGAAACATGCCCCACTCCACCCCGGGGTGCTGCCTGGAGGGAGGGCAGCACGGCAGGGCGGCCAGCCAGGGGGGCAGCTCCCCACAGCCCACCCAAAGCCCTGCCTCGTGGGCAGCAGGGCAGAGACCCCAGCCTGGCAGCAGCGGTTGGTTATTAGAAAAATCTCTCCGAGCTGGTTTTCTATGCATTTCTCACCTAAAAGCTGCTTTTGATCTGGCCACCTCCCTGCTCCACCTCCTGGGGGAGGACTCCATGGGGTATGAGGCCTTTCCCTGCATCCCAGGGAGGGGATGCTGCAGCCAAGCACGGATAGCGCGTGGAACCTCCTGTTGCCTGCGCTCCAGGGACCACAACCCCACAGAGCCCAGGCACCTCTATTCCCACCTGTGCCCAGTCCTGGGGTCTAATCCTGCCCCTCACAGGGGAGAGTGAAGGAGACCCTGCTGAGCTCCCACAGCACCCTGCAGCCCAACACAACCCTGCGCTAGAGAGCCCCAGGCTGGCTCCAAGCCAGCCTCTCCCTTTGGACTCAGAGGTTTCATCCTCCACCAGCGAAGCAGGGCTGCGAAGGGCTGTCCCAACAAGCTCCCATGCTCTCAAGCTTTACCGCTTTATCTCCAGCCTGTGATTTCTCACCTCCCCACAGCTGAGCAGTATCCCTGCCCCTCCATCCGCTGGCTCAGAGCCTGTCTCTGGGGCAGGATGCAGCAGGATCCCACGATCCCTGCTCTGTGTCCAGCTGGGTCCCCTCGCTCCCCTCTCCAGGCACATCAGCAACAGAAAGAGCAAGCCAGGCCAGAGGGAGTTGGGAGGGAAGCAATGCGAAAAGTGATTAACGCAAGGCTGGAGGGAGAAGAGATTCAACAAGCTAATTACGTCTGGCTGGGCTGAGCGGGACGTGACACCGTGTGGAGGCAGTCGGCAGGGTGTGTGCCATGGGTGCTGCGGTCCTTGGGGAGCTCGGTGCTGGGAGACCTGCCCTGCCCTGGCCCCAACCATGGCGGTCACAGCCAAGGGCACCCAGGACCAAGACCCCTTCTCACCCAGCTTCACCCTTTCCAGGCAGGGCAAGACAGCGCAGCCCATCCTGTGTCCACGGAAATGACCAAGGCTGATGCTCCTGGGTGCAGAGCATGTGGAAGGTGCTCTATCAAGGGGAGCACAGGGTCCCCAGGAGACCTTCTCCAAGACCCCAGTGCTGGCAGGATGTGGCCCAGCTACAGCATGCCTCAGAGTGTAAGGCCATGCTGGGATCCAAACTGAGGACGCGGCCATAGCTACCATGCATCTCTGCCCCTTCCCCTCCCACTTTGCAAGCTCTCACCATAAACAAGCAGCTCTCTCTTGATTCAGCCACCAGACCCTGGTCAGCCCTACATCCAACTGAAAAAAACCTGCCAGCCCTTGGAAAAGGAAAGGCAAGGGTTAAACCCACTGTGTATGGGGAAATCTTTGGTGCACCCCAGCCCCAGGGAACCCCAAACTTCAACCTGGAGCACCTGAAGCTGTCCCAGGCTGGATTTTGATGCTCTGAGATCTATCCCACCTGCAGCCAGCTCGCCTTGACCTCTCAGGTCAGTCAAATCTGACAGGCTGGATGGTGCCCTGAGCCTGGGGATGCCCTGGCACCGTGCCCCAAAGGGCCAGTCCCTCCTGCAGCTGAGATGCCCTGCTCCTGCCAAAGGGGTTCCTGGAAAGCAGGGCTTGGCATGGGGCTTCGCTCTCGCCAGCACCACGGGGAAGCTCATTTTCTCCCCTCTCCGGAGGGACCCTCACCCTGAACAAGGCACCAGGAGGTGGCCACGCTGCTCGCTGCCACCACCCTCCTGCCTGGCATCCTTTGGGGTTTCCCCCCAGACTCTGGAAGGGTTTGGCACCCTCCCCGGCCCTGCTTCTCCCTCCGCATCCTCAGCTCCTGGGCAACAGCAGCAGCCCCCTAGGGAAGGCAGGGACCAGCCCACCCTGTGTTGGGGGCTCTCCAAGACACCCCCAATCCTGCCTGTCCCACACACGGACCCTGACCCAGCTGAGACAGGGACAGCCCTGCCAGCCCCAGGGAGGCACCAGTTATCCTACCGACAGCAATCTGCAGCTTCATCTAATATTCATCTGAGGCTGGGTTACACGGGTGGCTCTCCCGCTTTTTTACCTCCCGCCCACCCTTCCTCCCAGCCAGCACCAATTGCTCCGTGCTGAATTATTGATGCTGCACTTCAGGAGCCAAAATCGATAGCATTTTGCTTCGCTTGCCCCCCTCCCGAGCGCTTGGCCGAAGCAGGCTCTTGGCAGGGGGCTGGGAGCCCCCTGGGCAGCTCAGCAGTGCACGTGTGGCTATGCTGGGAGATATTTAGGGCTGGGGACAGGCACGGTGGCACAGGGCAGTGATGGGGTGACATGGCCCGTCAGTGATTAACCAGCTGGTAAACAATACCAGCTCCAGCATCGATCGCCCCTGGAGCACAGAGGACCCACAGGAGACCTCGGCTGCTGCTGCCAGACAGCAGTTCTGGCTGTGCCACCAAAGCTGCACGGAATCTGAGGGGGGACAGTGCCAAAGGGACACAGCAAGGGGGTGCAGACAACCAGCACTCCCATCCAAGCCCTTGCTCAGAGGACGGCTCCAAATGGAGGATGGGTTACTTGGGGCCCCATCCAACTGAGTTTGGGAACCCACAAAGTCTGGAGTTCCCCCACATCGTCCCCCTCCCCGGTCCCTCTCAGGGGGCAGATGGGGTCTCACTGCAAGATGCTCCTACGGAACGCTTCCCTGGGGCTGGGGCATTTTTCCCATCTCTGGAGATGCTCCATCCCCAGCCCATCATGGAGACAGCATGGCACGGCACGGCACGGCACTGCCCAGCACAGACCACCCCCAGGACACCACCAGCACAGCACAGCCAGAGAGACAGCCGCAGGCAGGCGGCCGGCAGGGACAGGGCAGGGGTGCGCAGGCATGGGGCAGGGGGAGCTCAGCAGG